CGATGATTTTGACAGGAGCAGGTTCGGTGCTCATCGATGCATTAGAGAGGACTGTGGTGTAAGGAGAGGGTGGTCCTCGCCATGGAAATAGAACTACTGGTTTAAAGGTCAAGGTTTGTTTAAGGCAGGATTGACAATCTTTGAACTGTATCCAGTAGATGGGAAGAAATCAGTGAAAAGGAGAACGGGGATAGGAGCCACACCTGCTTGTCTTTCCCCCCAGCCTTCCTGCCACGGGAAAACGGGGCAAGATTCTCAGGGAGGGAAGGAGAGGCTGCTAGTGGGAAGAGGGAGAAGCAGGAAGCTTGGGGAGCTGAGGGGTCAGGGCCCGTCCCCTGCATCTGTCTAGTGTCCCATTATTCCTTCCTTGCAAGGGAGACTCAGAGCCCTGTACCCCTGGTATCCCCGGATGGAGGGGGTGTGTGCTCATGCCAAGCGTAGAGAGCCGGGGCAGTGCAGGCAGCAAGCCGGTGAGCAGCCCCCTTCCTTCTCTGTCCCACCCCCAAAACTTTCTGAACTACTCAGGTTAGGCCTGCGTGGCCCTGGAGGCAGAGAATTCCTGGCGGGCAGAGGCCAGGAGAACTCTTCGCCCACCCGTCGCCCAGACCGGAGAGGAGTTAATCTGGGTCCCGCTGAGGAACGACTGATGCTCGGGTCCCCCCTGCACTCGGTCTGTGCGGGAAGTGAGAATGGGGACCCCGTCCCGTCCTTCCCCCTCTCCGTACTTCTCCACTTGGACCAGAGGGGCTCTTTTCCTTTACTCCACTCACAGATCCAGAAGTGCCTGGTTTGACTGTCTAAATTAATCCTACTTATAATTATTTATAAGATGTATCATTAACTCCCACATGCACTTTAGTGTAAAATCTCTTTTTCCTTACAATTCTGTTTAGGTACTTTTTTAGTCCACCCTCCGGGCTCTGATTACAGGGCTGCTTTGCTTAAAAGACCTTGAGGGTTCCCTGAATTCCTTTGTTTAACAAAGAATTTCCTGCAAGATCATCTCAAGTGACTTCTCTCCAGCCACAGCCGGCTGCGCCCCTTCCGAAACCACAGCCACCGGCTCTCAAGCGCTGAGAACACGGTGGTGCTTCCCACTTCCCCGTAGCTCAGTGACACGAGTCTGTCATTTAACATTTCATTGTATGAATTAACACCAAACATAGACTTAAGCTGAAATTAATTAGCCATTTCCCAGTTTTTCCTGTATTACTCTTGGTCTGTGCTGTGGCTGTGCTGGTGCGCTGAGGAGGGGCCCAGTCTGACCATTGGGCATTTTACTTTAGCACAGCCTTCAGTACAGATATGACTTGCTTTGGTTCAGAAGTTTACCTCTGGCTGGAAAGTCTGTTCTGCTCTTTACCCAGTTAGTTGACTGTACTTGTCTTTCAAGTTTCTGCTCAAATGTAATTTCCTTTATAAAGCTTTCCCTCCTCGCCCGGGAGTAGTTGATTGCCCAGCGTTTTGGTGTGAAGCCCCGTGAGAGCACGTGTTCCATTGTGTTATGGGAATTACCTGTCCCTGGCATCTCTGCCCGTTTCCCCCAGGTTACATCATCCAATTCCCATGATTACCAGACAGGGTTAGATATTGGGATCCCCATTTACAGATGAGTAAACTGGGGGATCTGTCACCCACCTCACACAAGCTGTTATTAAAGATCTAATGTGGCAAATAGCGGTAGACTGATAGACACTGAGAAGTGACTGGTCCTGGGGGAGGGGAGGAGTGGGTAGGTGGGAAGGGATAAAAGGGCACAAAAATTCTCAGTCATAATAAAGGTTGGACGTGGGGATGGTAGTACAGCATGGAGAATATAGTCAGTGATGCTATAACATCTTCTTATGCTGACAGAAGGTAACCAACCGCACTAGTGGGGGTAAGGATTTAAAAATATGGGGAACTGCTGAACCATTCTGTTGTATACTTGAAACCAATATAAGATTGTACATCAATGATACTTCAATTTAAAACAAAACAAAACACAACAAAAATCTAATATAATGAATATAATTAATCTATAAAAGATGTAGAGCTGTATAACTAGAAGGCATTATTTTTTTTTACATTACTCTTTATATAGTAACAAGTGTTTATATTGTCTTACTCCTTGCCAATAGCAAAGGGAATTTATTACTCCCACATAAAGAAATCCTTTTAAGGATAATTGAAATAAAACCCTAGGAATGCTGCTATACCAATGCAAAAGATAGGATAGTCTACCCCCAGGCATTTCAGGTTAATCCCTCCCCCCTGAGCTGGAGCAGGGGCTCAGGTCTCTGGAGAGAAAAGGTTCAAGCATTTCTGGGTAGTGCCGTTCTCTCCCCTTTGCTCTCCTGCTTTACTTCTTTCACTCTCGATATTCTTGATGGGGGTGCTTGTAGAGCTCAGCCCCATCTTATCCCAGGAAGAAGAAAATAGGAGATAAATGTATGTAGGAGATAGACCTACAATAAGTGGTACAAAAAACAGTAGCCATCTTTTCAATTTATTATGGGAGCAAAGAACATTGCCTGTGTACTTGAATCTATGGCAGTTCAAAAAAGGATTTCTAGCAAAATAAATAAGACCCATTTTCTTCCTCTGGGCCTGGGGTCTGTTTTATTGTTAGTGAGCCCTTCAGCTTAACCAGTCTCCCAGCCAAGCGCTTCCTTCTTAATTAGCATCAGGAGTTTTCATTAGCTGTTTTATGAGTTATTTATTAGTGATCCTCATTAGCTTTGCCATGGTCTTAAATTTCTTTGACATTTACTGTCTTTCTATGTAAGATTTTATGGTTAATTTCCAGTGTATACAAGCTAGGTTTCTGGTCATTACCTTTTTTACAATGTGTATGTTCACATTTTACAGAGCCCCATAGATCTTCACATTTTTCTTTATAATTTTATATAAATGACTGGCATCCAGTTTACCAGGTTTCCTCATATGTTTATACAGATAGATAAAGAAAACTAAATAAATATATATTACTCAGTTAATGGTAGACCTTTCAAGAAACTACTAAGGTTTCATGTTTTTGAAAAATTAAATAATTTAATGAAATATTGTAATTCGGATTTATAGCCAAACTCTACTATTTTTCATTTTATACTCATTGAGCATTTATGCCCAGAGTATTGTCCAAAGAGCAGGGAACGAAGCAGTGTTTCTGCCTCTAAGTCACTGGACTGTAAAGTGAAGAATTATAAGAAGTCTAATTATTTCACAGATTTCAGAATATTTTATTTCAAAGTCTGCTATTCACAAGACTGAAAGCCACCATCCATGAAATGATCTTTTTTTTTAGAATTTTTTTTTTTTATTTGTATCCCTATTTTGTCGTTCATTCCATGCTTATAAGGGCCTAAAATTTGCTGCATTTTAGGGACACATCGATGAACAGCACAGAAAAAGTTTCTTATATTCAGATGAAAAAAGAAATTTAATAAATGTAAAATGTGTAAAAATTAAGTAACTAATTTCAGGTAATGATTAGTGTTATTCTTCCACCAGTGATTTTGTGAGTGCCTACTGTGTGCTAAATGCTGATCTGAAAAGTAAATCGTACAGGGGGATGCTGAGCTGGGCCAGGGTTGCTGTCTTACATCAGCTATTCTGGAAAGGCCGCCCCCAGGAGATGACATTTGAACTGAGAGCAGAATGACAGGGATCAGAAGAGCTTCTTAACCTGGGTCCTGGGACTCTGTTATGGATAGACTTCAGGGGACTTGATGGAGACTTGGGTGGGAAAAATAATGACATGTCCATTTTCACCCAACTCAGACCTAGGCTTTTCTTCCATTTGAATATAGGCAACAAAGCCCAGTAGTATTAGAACTTATTACCTGTGATCAATGTTTTCCTATCACATCTTAGTTCTTGCAACTATTTTAAAATATCCTTGCTTTGATGTCATTTCATAGATCTGCCAGTAGATCTGATTATACATTGTGTTAATAAAGAAGCACATGTATTATTATATGAGTTATATATTACTGGTTAATCACTCTAAAATTTAGGGATTTAAAGCAATACCCCATGGGGTGGCAAGGTCTGACCCTTACACTGTCCTTAAAAATACTCTGAGATGAGTTCACTGATAGTACCATGTTGTCAAAGAGGGCCATGGCAGAAATGAGGTTAAGATCCCCCAATCTGGAGAGAGGAAGTTCTCTGGGGGGGATGCAAGAGCCTCAAGGCGGGAGCAAGCTACAAGCCCTGTGTGGTGGGGGATCAGCAGAAGGGAATCTGTGGCCAGAGCCGAGTGACTGCTAGCAGAGTGGCTGGACAGAGGCAGGATCACACCATATGGCTCACTGGGAAGATTGTGGAACTTGTAGAGGGACCCCCAGCCCCCTGACTTTGCCCCACTCCCAGTGTATGGGAAGCTCATATTGTATGAGTACTAATCTATATTTTCTTTTACATTTTCTAATATATTGCTATCTTTTAGTGCATAAACTCATTGTTTTTAATAATTTTATGATGCTCCACTTAGTGGTGGCATGGTAATTTGTTTCGTCTTTCCCAAATACCAAACATGTAGGCTGTTTCTGCTTCTTTGTGTAGATCTACATGGATTTATTTTTCTTTTTATTTACCTCTGTGAAGACATGATTCAGAATGATTTTTACTCAGTTAAAAAATTTCTAATGTGAAGAATTTTATTATTTTTTTAATATTGAGGTGCATATAATAAAACGCACAAATCTTGGTGTACAGCTTGATGAATTCTGACATGTGGATACACTCCTAGTCATCACCCAGGTCAAGATATTAAACATTCTCACCAATTTTTTTTTTAGACGTAGATTTGATTTTCAGATGTAGAACTGCTGGTTTGTGTGTATGTTCTTTTAAAGTTTGGACAGATGTTGCTAAATTGTTGTTCAAAAAGAAACACATTAGTGATTGCACTTCATGAGGCATTTTTATTATGTTTAACTACAAAGACTTGACCTACCTTTCTTAAGATCTAGAATCAGACATTTTTGTACTGACTGTTTTTTCTATTGTTTCAGAACAACGAGATGGTGGAGCTGCAGCGAATACGGATGAAGGATGAAATCCGAGAATACAAATTCCGGGAGGCCCGCCTCCTCCAGGACTACACAGAACTTGAAGAAGAAAATATCACGTTGCAGAAACTTGTGTCCACATTAAAGCAGAACCAGGTAAGGCTTTTTTGGTTACATTCCAGGTGGATGCACATCTTCTGACCACTAAGATAAGTCTTCTTTCTATTTCTCAGGAGGGAACTTACAAAATTTGCCTTGATCTCCCTACAATCTTTATGTGCTGAAATTTCCCACCACTCGTGTTTCAGCTAATATTTAGAAGGAAACCTAGAAGTAGTGTAATTTACAATAAAGCTTTATTGGAGAAGAAGAATTTTAGTTTATCCTTTAGCTCTATGTTAACTTAGTTTAGGAGTAAGTCAAATGTATTAGTTTTACCTAACAACTTCTCACTGAAGGCCTGGGTCTATAAACTTGTTTTGTGCTACAAGCTCAAGGTCTCCCTAAAATCATTCCCTCCCCTACCTCCCTCCCTGTCTCTGTAAATGGCTTTCAAATCATGTAGGGGAAGGGATTATAAATATACTGCAATAAGAACAAAATTATGTGAAAAAGAAAATGCCTGGTATCTTTTTTTCAGCTGTAACCTGACTGTAAACATTGCTTGTGGACATCTAAGTAATTTTTTGGTAGCTAGGTTTAGATAGCTGAACTGCCGAGTTTTCCTAATTGGTTTGTATTGTGCTTTGTTATAGTTATTAGGAATAGCATTCCTGAATCTATTTATGAATATGGTTCTATCAAATATTTAAGTAAAGGTGAATTGGATGTTCAAGGTCTTTTTTAGGCAGTTCCTCAACTACAACCTCTATTCTAAATGATACCACAACCTAGCAAGTCAGGTCACCAACTGTGTGCCGGGCACTGTGCTACGGCTGGAGAGATGTAAGAATCTGTGGGGTGAGATTCTTGTCCTCAGTACTCTTAGAGGCCGGCCCAGTGGTAAGCTTTTACTCTGCTTTATGCTCAAGCTGGTATCTCCATCTGAAGCTATCATTGGCTTTGAGATAATATGGAAGGGGGAAGAAAGGTCCCCAGGAGGAGAAAACCCCATGTACTGGCGCCACTGAAACTTGATTTCTGACATTGTCACTGCTCCCCGGCTTTGGAGTCTTGGGTACAAGACCTCCACGAAGGCATGCAGCGGGGTGAGGCCAGCGACAGCGCTTCCAGGAGAGCCCCGTGGTCTTCCTGCCTTCCTTCCCTGTGTGTGTGCGGAGGGCTGGCCCTCCGTGCCCATCCGGGTCCTGGTTCGGTTGGAACCAAGGAGCACAGCCTGGAGAAAATTAGATGCAGGCAAACTTTTAAAAATATGTTTCTCAGAAATTTCTTAAAAGAAGAAGGCATTTTTTTGTTGGAGGTGTGTTTGGTCACTGATGAAGACTGTAGGGGACCTGACAGGAATTTACTCGGGGTGCAGATACTTAAAGCGGCCCTTCCTCCTGATCCCCGCAAACGCCCCCTTTCCCCGCAGGGCAGGAGCGCCACACACATCTGTCCTGGCCCCTCCCTGCAGGCGCCCTTAGGTGTTCCTGCCAGCCCGCCGAGGAGTCCTGCCAGCGACCCTTGGCCCAGACGCCGCAGCTGCGGGGCTTGAAGCGCTCAGTCCGAGGGCTGATACTCACCGCTCACCCTTGCCTTCCGCCAGTAATTGAAGCCTGGGAATCAGACGCTTAACCCAGAAGTCTGAAGAAACAAACAAGAAAATGTGTACAATTCTTTAATTTTATTTTGTAGGTGCAGTATGGTAACTTTCTCAATTAAGTGTCTAATTAATTAATTTGCAATCATTTTCCATACAAAGGGCCATTTGGGTTTTTTCCCAGACAAATGGGAGTATCAAGTCTCCCCCAATTAAGGAAATACTTTTTTTTTTCTCCTACTATTGGCTTTTATTAGTTAGCATCCATCATACACTCTCTTTCTAATTAAATAGAAAGTACAGTATTCTATGGACAAATGCCACAGATGTTTTTCAAGAAATGACAATGGCAGGCTTTCAGCCTCAAAACTGTTCTGACGTTTGCTTTGTACTGAAGCTCCCCATACTAAGCAGGCTCTTCCAGCCTGGTTTGATGTATCTCGAAACTAGCATTACAAAATGCTTGGTTCAAAGAATTAGAAGATTCTTTCCTTCTGAAGTTTCATTTTTTTTTATCTGTTTATTGATTATTTTCTAAATAATTGTTGTGTAACTTTCACATCTTACTCCCTATATATTAGTGTATTTTCCATCTCCTTCTATTATGATAGAGCTTCTGGAACAGAACCTGGCCCATGGAAGGCATTAAATAAACATGTGTTGAAGGAATGCTGTTTTTTTCTTTGTCTTCTATTCTGTCTTCAACATAGAGAGGAAACAAATTTAAGATGATTATAATTAACCAAACAAACTTATTTGTCATTCTAAATGTGAAATGTATGGGAACATCAAAGAATTAAGTCTGAAAACTTCAGCCACATCCCCATGTGCTAATTTGGTCCTATGTCCAAAATAAAGTCAGTCCCCATCTTGTAAATACATTTTATACCTTTATACTTTTGAAAACTGCAGTATCTGGAAGACATATAGGAAAAAGCAGCAGCTATAAAGACATGTGAAGTCGACTGTCAGTTCCCCAACAGACCACCAGAAACTCCATTGATGAGGCGAAACAGTTTATTAGGCCTCTTGCAGTCAGAGACCACCTTGGCAGAGCCTTGGTACTGTCTCAGAATGGGAGATTTAGGAAAAAGGTGTTCATAGGATCTTAGGAGCTCAACTGGGTTTTGCATGGTGGGAAACTGGGATCGATGGAGTTTATGACATAATAACTTTGAATTGGGAGACACAGCAAAATTAGGGTTTTGACATGAGTCTTGAGGAAACTATTTTAGTTGGGTCTCATCTTCTACGAGCAAGTATTTCTGAAAAGCAGCTAAATTATTTCATGCCTAGTCCCAGTACTGGTTAACAGAGGGACAGGATAATTTGCCTTTTTCCGATATTACCTAACATAGGGCAGGAAATTGTGTTTCAATTTTTAGGGATGTAAGTGATGAGAGGAGGAGAGAAATAATAAATGCTATATTCCTAATATCTCACATATTGAACTAAGGCACTCAGAAATTGTTATCTAAGCATTGAAGCCCTTATTAAAATTAATAATTAAGTATACTTCTGTTATGAAGAACATTTCCCCCAGGGATGTATTTCTGTATCAGGGAATTGTATCATAAGGGAACGTAGGGAACATATTCGATTCGGTTTGATTTCATTTAACCATTATTTCAGGTGTTTCTGTCTATGAAGCCATGTACTTTCAAAAAGTCTAGTTGCATATTAAAACTATGTGTTAGATTTGGCAATACAGGGCAAGATTCAGATCTTTAGAGTTCCTGGAGCCTGAACAGATTATGGTACCCATCCCCAACCCTCATGGTAAATAAAAGTTAAAAATAAAAGAGGTACTAAACTATGAAGTCGCTATAAGGAGGTCCGACAAAGTCAGTACTTTCTCTCATGGTGGCTCCTTTGATGCTGCCTGTAAAATGTCACACAACAGGTGTTTAAATGCCTTCTTGCTTTGCTTCTTGGCGCCTTCCCTTAGCTGGGGCTCTGGCTGTGTGGGGCCTACCAGTGACGGCTGCGGAAAGGAGTGAGCCGTTTGCCTGAGTGGGTCAGCAAAGACTGCAGACTGGGGACCGCATTCTTGACTTGGGTCCTGAAGAATGATGAAGGGGTTTGTCCAGGACACGGTCTTTGCCAAAGCAGAGAAACATGGAACTGTTGGGGGGTTGTTAGGAGCCTGAGCCGCATTTGAGCGAGTGGAGTGAATGAATCTGCCTGAACAGAAAGAGAAGTAAACTTCTATCTCCACTAAGTCACTCTTATTTAGGTCTCTGTAACACCAGCCAAACTGACATCCTAAACTTACATCAGAAACTCTTATTTTAACCCTTGCAAGGTTAGAACAAAGAGGTGTGAGGATAGAGATACATGAAAGTGATAATGGTCTGTGATCCCTGTTCCTTGATTCTTAAAATCCTTCTTAAAATACAAGTTTAAACTAATATAAATACTAAAATAAATTTTAAACTAAACAAATAGTTTATATTGATAAATAATTTCATGATTATTATATTACTTTTTATGCTTTATTTTGTCATTCAGCAGTACGTATTAAAGAACAGAACTCTGCTGAAGCACTGGGAAGGAACACTGACACGCTGGGTGGGACATCTAGTAGGTGCATAAAAAGTATTTCCTCTTGTAAGGAGATTACAGTGGAGTTGTAGAAATAAAATACTATTAGAAAGTGTCATGTGATTGATGAGTGCCATGGAAAAGCCCCCAGGAAGGCATGTTGGGTTAGAGTAGAGATCTCTTCACCTTGGACTTTCGTGACCACGAGGGTGTATGAGCAGGCTCTTATTTGATTATAATTAAAAGAATATTACATTGATAACTACATATATATGTATTTTTAAATATTGAGTATTTGATACCATTTCTCCAGATTTTATCCTTAAACATGTTAAATTTTTCTTTGCTGACTTATCTTCCTCTCAAATATATGTTACTGAGATTATTTTCTTGTAATCTTTAAAGTAGTTTATCTCTGCGTATGATAATTTCCTCATTGTTAATAATTATATGGGACAAAGTAATAGTGATGATAAACTCTTGGTTGTGAATATTCTGATAAACTTTTTTTAAAATTCCTCATTTATTGGGCAAATGGTGCCCCCTTTTGCCCACCAGATCCCACAAAAGAAATCCTAAAACAGACACTTTTCATATCTGTTAAGAATTTTAATTATATATACATGGTTTGACATATATTAAATATATATGACATGCATGATTATATACGTATATGTCATATGTATATATGATTAAAAAGCCACCCTGTGTTACTTTAAGGGTGTATATACTGTGTGTAACTTCGATTTACTTTATAGACTAATGTTTTAATTTTTTAAATAATTTGGTCCACCGGAGTGTTCAATGGCAGTTTTGTAAGACCCAAATTTTAGTTCTATGAATCTTCTCTCTCCTGTGTGCTTCAGGTGGAATACGAAGGCTTAAAGCATGAAATCAAGCGATTTGAGGAGGAGACGGTGCTGCTGAACAGCCAGTTGGAAGACGCCATCCGGTTGAAAGAGATCGCCGAGCACCAGCTGGAGGAAGCCCTCGAGACCCTGAAAAACGAACGGGAGCACAAGAACACCCTGAGGAAGGAGCTGTCCCAGTACATGACCCTCAGCGACAACCACCTCAGCATCTCGGTGGAGGGGCTCAAGTTTGCCGAGGACGGGGGCCAGCCGAACAATGACGACAAGATGAACGGCCATCTCCACGGGCCCCTCGGGAAACTGAGTGGGGACTACCGCACCCCCACGCTGAGGAAGGGGGAGCCTCTGCACCCTGTTTCCGACTTATTCAGTGAGCTGAACATTTCAGAAATACAGAAATTGAAGCAGCAGCTCATGCAGGTAAGAACTTTTATAGGCTGAGTGCATTTCTTAGAGATGCATGTGTGTCAGAGATTTCTTATCCTCTAGGTGATTTTTTAAAATATTGCTTCTTCAACGAGTGACTTTGAAAGTACAGCATTTTAGGAAGACATGACAGAAGAGATGCTGAGAAATCTCTCATTTGCATCACGTTAAGAAATGTATCTCTCAGAACCACAAATTGGGTTGCAATCAGGTGGAAAGGTAGACAAACCAGCATCTCGAAGCATTTCTGACTGAGAGAAGAATTCAAAACTTTTAGGTTCAAGTCAAGTGGCAGAAAAATGTATTTTTTCTTCCTTAGTAACAGTATGTATAGCTTCAGGAATAATGGTTACACTTCACAGAAATACTTTTAAGATGTGGAGGACTTCATATGTACAGACTAGCCGGGATACCATAAGACTAGAAATACAGAACAGGTATAAATCTGAAACTAAGGAGTTCCCATTCCAGCATGAGCAGGGCCTTAAATATTAGGCATCTTCAAATCAAATATCTTGTGAAGAGTTCTGGCCTTTAGGCGTATCTCCTTGCAAACTGGCTGTCTAGTTTAGAGTCCTGCCTCCCTGCCACGTGCAATCCTGTGCCCCTGGAAATGTTGTCTGAGGGCCACCACCACCATCTCCATCACCCCGGGGCTTCTTAGTCCTGCAAATATGGGCCTCACCGCATCTGCTGAACCAGGAAGCGGGTTCGATGCTTGTTAGGTGATTCACTTCCAGACTTAATCTTCAGTCTGTTATCCCTGCAAGGTTCTTTGCTTCCAGCTGATAATTACAGACCGTTAATCATTTATTTCTGTAGCAAACAGGGCTTACAGTTTTCTGCCTCTACAGAAACGAGGACTGAAAAATGAAATTAGTGGAAAGAAATAAGACACCAGACAACCAATGAAGTTAATTTATTAATAGGTTTGTTTTTACCACTGCATCAAGGATTACCATGGCCTGCACGCTGCCTGCCCAGTGCTTTTGGATGTGAAAAGAGAATTCGTTTTCACAGGGTTTCGTTGGAGTCAAGAGGCCATGGCCCCTGGGAGAAAGTGAATTTCATACAGACTTGTACCTGACGGCAAAGTCCAGTTTTGAGTAGGTCATACATTCCTATGTCATTTCACTCAGATTACACTAATGCAGCTGGGTACATAGAAAACAATTCCTCTTGGAAAAAATTTTACATGACGGATGTATTTATAAGAATTTGTGCCCTATTTCAAGTTTTTCTTGAAATAGAAATATGCAGTTTTTCTTAAACTATCATATTAGCGGCTTCAGGATAAAAAGTTAGTGTGTTGACGCTTTTTGTTTGTTCTTACAGTGGTGGCGGTGTGGAAGATATTAGGAAGAGGGACTTTTATGCACAAAACAGCTCAACCGTTTTCAACCTAGTCATCTATTGGCGGAATGTCAGAGCTGTCCTCAGATTTAATCCTAAATGTAATCAGGACTCATACAAAAATCTAAAAGTGACGAGTAGTTTAATAAAAAGAATGGGGGAGGCAAGTTCTCAGCAAGTGAGTGGTGCTCAGTGGGAATGTCATTTGCATTTGGGGTGGGACAGTTGCTCCCTGTCTGAGACTACCTGGTGATTGACAGGAGGTGTAGCATCTCTGGTCCCGACCCACTAAATGCCAGTTACATCTCTTTAGTCTGTGGTGATCCAAAGCGCCCCACACATTGCAAATGCTTCAAGGGTCAACTGCTAGTCAAGAATCCTTCTCAGGGATAGCACCTTACTCTCCTGTAAAATGGGGATACCTAACAGGTTCTTCCTTAGAGTGTCATAGGGTCTGTGTGTAGACTTCTTAGAACAGGGCTGGGCATGCTGTAAATGCTCAGTAATCGTGAACTGTTATCACTATTTCAGCTCCCATAGTGCCTTTAATTTCTCGAGCACTCAGTTTATTTCGCTTTCTTTCCTATTAGTAACTTACTGTTGGACAGTTAGCTCGAGGATCATCTCAGAAGGGACTAACGGGGTTTCTGGTAGGAAGACAGACAAGTAAAGTTAAGTCTGAATGTGAGAAGGTCTAAAAAGGGATGTTCATTTAGCAGAAGGGAGAGTGAGAAAAGCTTGGCTGGAGAAACCCTCCCTCTGTGTACCGTAGAGCTGTGTATCCTCAGATCTTTTATCAGCGCTTCATTAATGTTGATAGTTTGTCATAATGTAGAGGGACACAGCAGGGCCTCATATACCAGCGTTTGCTCCAGATTTAGTTGTGAAAACTTAGCTACCTCAACACAGGAAGGGCTGTATAGCTTAGAGCCTCACAGGAACAAGAACTTCTGGTTTGTTTCAAAGTAAAGTAACCATCTTTACTTGCCATGTGACCATCTTCCTGTATTCAGCATTTTTTAAAAAAGCTTACTAATTTTCTTTAGGAATATATTTCATTCAAACTGTTGAGTACAAGGATAGCAGAATATATCTTCTCATGCATCATTTGTTTATAATCTGAGTTTTTCCTTGGCTATGCATCCCCTTGGGTTTGATTTACATAAATAAACAAATTATAAACACATTACAGGATACGTTGCATAGAAGTTATTGCATTTGGCTTTGATGTTAATGAGGTTTGGAAGTAATATGGCAATTCTGATAGACATCAGTACTTATGCACCTGGCAGCATATAGTGTGTGTCAGTACCACTGTTCTGGACGTGCTGGGGAGCAGGCAATACAATGCACTTTAAATCTAGCCCCCTGACATGCTTGGGGGCTGATGTGTGTCAAAATGGAATGTTCAGAACGTAGGAAGGTAGTATGCAGCATACACCATATACATTGTGACCTCCCCAGCTGGGTCAGGTGCAGAACTAAATGAGAAAATAATAACATTTCTGTAGTAAAGCATGTGAGTATTCACACTAAGAGGAAGAAAATGAGAGCCATACAAGACCTCACATCAGTCAGGTACAGTATTGCTGCTCAGGGAATTTGGGGCTGTCTGAATATGGCCACCCAGCGAGTTACGGTAGCACTTTTCTCTAAAGCCGCTTTGGACTTTGAAATGGTGGTGATCATATACCCATTACTGTTCTGTCAGGCAGCTCTCAATTTTGTACACCTCACTTACTGGCCGTGCCAGTCTGCATTTCCACAGTCCCCTTGTCTCTGAGGACTTCTTTTGGCCTGGGTCCGCAGTGCTGCGTCATAGAGAAAGCTGTGTGCCTGCATACTGAACACCTGCTCTTAATGTTGAGACTATGAGACATAGAGGGGTACCCACAGGGGTAGAACACCATACCAGGGAAAATACAGCTGTTAAGATTTTATGTCTTGGAATTAAAAAGACGTTTTGAAAACAGCATACCCTGGCCAAAGCCTGTTGGCCTTATGCTACAAGGCTCCACCTGTGCATGTAAGTCATGTTTTCCTATTCATGGGTAGTTACTCAACCTGGTTCTCAAAAGAAAAAAATCCTTTCCTGCCTTGCATATCAGGGACCTTGGCTGGGTTGCCTCACTTCTCTGAGGTGCATTTATAAAGGAGAAGGTAATAAATTAGCCCCGTGCCGAGTCTCTACAATAACTTTGTTGAAATTAGGAGAGGAAAAAAATGTAGGTTCCCCCTTCCGCAAGATATCATACTGCCATCTACTGGGAAATGGTAATAATACAGCAAATATAAAAATTACCCAATTTAAATAGTACCTCCTAGAGTTGTATGCGCTCAAAGCCCAGTGATTTCAAATAGATTATAATTGACATTTTCCAGTGACAATCAAGTACCTTAATTAGTTTTACTAGAATGAAAATCAGTAGATCCTGTCTGGAAAAGTAACTAAATTACTTAATCTATTTAAAGGGGTCTCTGTGTTTGAGCTAAAGTTTCTGCTTTTCTAAGTAGCTTCTGTTTAACTTCACATCACAGAGCATCAGACTAAGCAAGAGAAAACTGGATTTTTTTTTTTCAGTGTCGCACTGGCTATCTAGTTTCATATGTAAGGTGAGAAAACTAATATTTCTGTAAAACTGGAATTGATGTTTTGTTGTATCCTCATAGATGTGGAAGAAATAAAGATTCATATTGTATTTAAATCTACTCTAGTAAAGACAATTTAAATTTTTCTATAATGGTAAATGGTCAGTTTGCTGCATGTCCCATAAGAGTTCAAATTAATTTATGTATTTGCTTCACTGGTTGGCTCTTGTACCAGTCATATGGGGTAGATAGTATTATTGTCCCCATTTTACAGATAGGGAAACGGAGGCACAAATATGTTATCATTTGTTGAAAGTCAAAAACCTAGTCAGTGGAGTTGCTACACAGAGAGAAAGAGCCAAACAAATAAAATATTATCTGTACTTACTAAAGACTTAGAGAGTATTTACCAGGAGAAATTAATTAAAACAAGATAAGTCAGTTCCTGGTTTTTAAAATTTAAAGTGACAAATACAGTTTCCGAGGACAAAGTTTACAAGTTAAGTTGTTAAACTAATATAGACTTTATGAGCTTTATAGGCAAACACATTTCCCAGAAGACTTACTTTTTCTACCATGTAATCAGTAAACATAAAAAACTCCTATAATCACAATAAGGGGAGAGTTTATATAGTTTTTTTATAGAACAGCTTTATGGAGATATAATTCATATACCATATAGTCCACTCATTTCAAGGCTATAATTCAACAGTTTTTAGTATATTCTCAGAGTTCTGCAGCTACCAGCACAGTCAATTTTAGAATATTTTCATTAAAGAAGCAATGTTCCCATTAGAAGCCACACCAACCCTAGGCAACTAATCTACTTTCTGTCTCAATAGATTTGTCTATTCTGAACATTCTGCATAAATGAATCATAAAATATGAGGGTTTTTTTTGTGACTGGCCTTTTCACTTAGCATAACGTGTGAGGTTCATCCATGTTGTAACATATATTAGTACTTCGTTCCTTTTTAATTGCCAAGTAGTATTCCTTTGTATGGATATACCACATTTTATTTATCCATTTATCAGAGATGGACATTTGAGTTGTTTCTGCTTTTTGGCTACTATGAATAATGCTATTATTAACATTCATGTATATATTTTTATGTGTACATACATTTTAATTCTCTTGGGCATATGTACCTAGGAGTGGAATTGCTGGGTTATATGGTAACTCTTTGTTTCACTTCTGAGGAACCACAAGACAGTTTTCAAAGCAGCTGCACCATTTTACATCTCTACCAGCAGTATGTGAGGGTTCTGATTTCTCCACATCCTCACCAACACTTATTATTTGCCTTTGATCATAGCCTAGTCACCCTGGCTGGCATTTCCAGTACAACACTGAATAAAAGTGGCAGGAGCAATCATCCTTGTCTTGTTCCTGATCCTAGAAGGAAAGCTTTTGTCATTAAGAAGGTAGCTCTGGGTGTTCCGTAGATACCCTTTATCAGGTTGAGGAAGTTCTCTTCTGTTTCTAGATTATTGACTATTTTCACCATGAAAGTTCATTGAATTTACAAAAAGCTTTTTTCTGCATATACTGAGATTTTGTCCTGTGTTCTATTTTTTGTCCTGTATTCCATTAATACAGTGTATTATTGATTTGGAGATATTAAATCAACACTGCATTTATCCTAGGATAAAGCCCACTTGGTCATGTTGTATAATCCTTTTTATATTGTTGGGTTCAGTTTGCTAGTATTTTGTTTAAAATGTTTGTGTCTATGTTCATAAGAGTTACTGGTCTGTAGTTTTTTTTGTAGTATCTTTGTCTGGTTTTAGTATCAGAGTAATACCAGCCTCATAGAATGAGCTGAAGAGGGTCCTTCCTCTTCTATTCTTTGGAGACTGTCCAGTGACTGACCTCTGCATGTGTGTGTGTGCATGAGAAAGAGAGAGACTTGTCACCACACTCTCCAAAATATACTCCCTTCTTTTGCAACTGCTGGATTCCCTCAGCTGGTGTTTCTTAATTCTAGGTTGATCTTCTTTCACAGTCCTCATCTGTCCGGGCACAGCCATGCATCGCCACAAGTGCTTCACTTCAAGCAGAGGAAAACAAATTGAGTTCTTTGGTACATATTGATACTATGCAGACCATTACAAGAGTCACACCAATCACGCACATGCCACATTGAGTCAAATGACCAGGATAGACTTCGTGAAAACTGATAGTTTATCAAACAACTTTGACCTCTTTTCCTATAAAAGTCCTAAAATGAATGTGCAAATTCTGATTCATCTTTTCTTTCATTCCTCCACAAAAGAGTACTCAATGCGTGTAAATGTGTTTATTTAAAAGGTAAATGTTCAGTGAATTAAAAAATATCCATGGGACATAATTGCAACAATAGTAATTAATAGTTAACATATGCTGTATAATTATACAAGACTAAAGAGTTTACAAATTCAGCATTCAGGTTTTCTGGCAAAACAACCAGCTCTACTTGGAAAAATAAAATCTTCGGTTCCAGGTAGAAGATGAAGATTGTAGGAAAGAAATAAGGCAACTATTCTTAGTCACTATAGAAGATTCTGATGAGCTGAGCAAGTCTGTCTTGGATAAATTCTTCACAAATAGAAATTAACACAGTACACTTAAAATAAGCAATTTTAATCTTTAAAATGCTTTGCATTTATTAATTCAAAGCAAAGTGTATCTTAAACAGTTTAACCACTGTTCTCAGAAATCCAAATATAATTTAACTTACTCCAGATTTCAATAGCTGAGTGAAAATACATTGGTGGATTTGTACAAAATTATCCACAACTTATCTTTTTTTGGGAGGAGGTGGTGCAGAACATCCTTAACTGTCTGGAAAAAATACACACATATGGAAAATATACGTCTATGTGTGTGTGTGTATAGTATATGTATACAATCTGGATATCATTTTGTATTCAGTTGATTCCACCAGAAATGTATTTAGTGTGGAAATCAGTCTGATGCGCATCATACTTACACAAGAGAGACATGTTGTATTTGATGTTTTCTGGAGCCACGATCATTAAGAAACTGACGGACTTACCCTTTTGAGCTTAGAAAATATTTTAAGTCGAAGCTGGCAGAGCACGGATCAGAAACTCTCCCAATGGCATTACCTCATTCATCGTAACGCTTTTGCCTCTAAAACAAGCTTGAGACATAGTCAGTACATTTTGTTCTGGTCCAATTTTTACTTTAAAAGCTTTTCCTTTCAAAAGTTTTCTATTTTGGTTTCTGTAGCCATGATATATAACTGATGGATTGCATGCCTGTCATAATGGGCAAGCACTATGTCATAAAATGAAAACTACAATCTATAAGCCTCTACATAATTTAAAATAACAAAACTTATTTTTATTTTAAATATACATGACTATATTTTATAGGCAGTCTTTGCTTTTTATATCATGGGGCCATAAATACTCTTTTGCAAGCTGAAACCATGCAAAACAAACTTAATAATTAATGTAGAAAATGACAATTCTTTGATCTTCAAAAACTGTCAGAATATAAAAAACTCTCTTGGTCATAAATGTATAGAGAAATGAAAAAAACAGTACAACTACCTAGTACACTGTAGTCTAAAAATAAGAAACATAGTAAAAGTTTTCTTTGTAAAAAAACTTACCTTTGAAGTTAAAATTTGACCACCCTCCAAAAAACTAGAGAAATTACTTTTTACAGAATATTGAAGTATTACAAGCTTTTCAAATAAAAATTTAACCCTCAACGTACCCCCCCCATAAAAAAAAACTTACCAAGAGTGGTTTGATCTTGCTTTCCTCTCATCATATAACTTAGGATACTAAGAAGAATCTTTCCTGTGCCTTGGTGAATAGTTGTATTCCTTTCTAAGTGTGGATTGGCTTCCAATGTTTTATCTTTTGCACTTTCAGTGTCTGAAAAGAGGTCTGAGGGCCTGGGTCACACACATCCTCTAGGATAGAGTCATTCTTTTTGTAACAACTACTTTTTTCATTTATGCCGGTACGTTCTCCTTCACCAAGTTGCCTTGGCTGCATACCTAAAATCCTTCCAACAGCACCAATGTCATCCACCTACAACTCTTGCGTACATTATGTGGATTTATCCCTAGGAGATGAGAAGATAACACAACTACACACCCTTTGTGTCTGAGTGAACTGAACTGAGTAAGAGATACATAGTGGCCAATCCCTGGCAAACTTTGAATGAAGTGATGTGATTGGTCACTCGTCATGGTGTTACTATATAGTGATATTGTAGATTGAAGCAGCAGTGTTTGTACTTCACACATTGCTCATAGTTCACTGGATATTGAAATTTGGACTGTTTTGGAGGGACTTTGTTTTAACTAAACTACAATTACTTAAATTCATGCATATTAGAACTTTGCCAAGTGAAGACTGTCTGCACGTGATAATTATATGGATGATATCAAGGGAGGAAGGAAGGAAAGAAGAGATCTAAAGTAATATGCTGGTTAAATAAAATACTAATTATATTTTAATTATATTATATTTTAACAGGTTATATTGATTATGTTATTATAATAATAATTTTACTTGGCTTCTAGGTATTTAGAAGTTTGGAGGTATAGAATGTCTGATCTAGGAAAGTTTGAAAGATTGAATCGATCATTTCTTTGAAGATGTAAAAACATTCAACATCGATCCATTATCCCTACAGCAGATCTCATGATGGGTTATTTTAAAAAACAAGAAGAAAAGAAAAAGCAGTGCAGGAGGATATGATACCTCCTACATAATGCTTCAAAATGTTAAAATTATTTGCTTATTGAGAACCGTATTTCCTTTATAAGCAATGTAAAAACTTAATTCATAGTGGTGATTGCCCACATGGAAGGACAGAAAATGTTTTTTTAATTCTCAGCTTACAATTTCTTATATACTTATATTTATTGAAACAGTATTTTATATTGAGACCTAAATGTTTTTCAGTGTGCCATAATACCACCTGTATAATAACAAAACTGTCACATTATTCAGATTCATTGCTAATATTTAGAATTCCTTTTTGGGCTGAAGGAATTGAAGTGATTTTCAAGTTGTTCTTTTAGCCCTAAAGTATATTCTCTGACTTTTATATTGAAATGATCAAATTTAGTATGTCTATTTTGGGGATTAAATATTTGTTTTAAGAGGATGGTTAATGTTCTCAATCATTGTTTAGTAAGTTAAAGCCTTAAGTTTTAAACCCGATTTTGGGTTGAGTTCTGGAAAGAAAAGGATTATTCATAGGTACCTTGAGACAGTCGCTTACCCCCTGTGAACTAAGGTACGGATGTACTGTGAGGCTCTCAGAATAAAGACAGTGTCCATACTATCTCTTGAAGTCATGTTACATTTTCTGCAGGGTGTTAAAAGATAAAAATTAGATTATTTGAGTAACATTCAAGTTTCATGAGTGTATGTATAATGCATGAAAATTTGGATGGGTAAGTATGCATAGCATAATTTTTAGAATGATGTATTTTATATTGATTGACTTACCCGAACTGCTGACTTAAGAAAACATTCTCCAGTTTAACATGAAATATTGGAGACCTGGGCTCTCCTGCAATTATTTTAAGCGTGTACATGCCGACTGTGAATGGATCAAGCACATTGTTGGCGTTGCCCTGAAGTCACTCAGAGACTTTCTGTTGCCATTGCAGGTCGAGCGGGAAAAGGCGATTCTCCTGGCCAATCTCCAGGAGTCGCAGACGCAGCTGGAACACACCAAGGGGGCGCTGACAGAGCAGCACGAGCGTGTGCACCGGCTCACGGAGCACGTCAATGCCATGAGGGGCCTTCAGAGCAGCAAAGAGCTCAAGGCCGAGCTGGACGGGGAGAAGGGCCGGGACTCAGGGGGGGAGGCTCATGACTATGAGGTGGACATCCATGGCTTAGAGATCCTTGAGTGCAAATACAGGGTGGCAGTGACTGAGGTGATCGATCTGAAGGCTGAAATCAAGGCCTTAAAGGAGAAATACAATAAATCTGTAGAAAATCATACCGAAGAGAAGGCTAAGTATGAGAGTAAGATCCAGATGTATGACGAACAGGTTACAAGCCTTGAGAAGAGCACCAAGGAGAGTGGGGAGAAGATGGCCCACATGGAGAAGGAGCTGCAAAAGATGACCGGCATAGCCAACGAGAACCACAACACCCTTAATACAGCTCAGGATGAGTTGGTGACGTTTAGTGAGGAGCTGGCTCAGCTTTACCACCATGTATGCCTGTGCAATAACGAAACCCCCAACAGGGTCATGCTGGACTACTACAGGCAAAGCAGGGTCACCCGCAGCGGCAGCCTGAAAGGGCCGGAGGATCCCCGGGGACTTGTGTCCCCACGGTTAGCCAGGCGGGGCATGTCATCCCCAGTAGAAACAAGGACCTCATCCGAACCAGTTTCCAAAGAAAACACAGAGGCCAGCAAAGAACCAAGTCCAACCAAGACCCCCACCATCTCTCCTGTTATTACTGCCCCGCCGTCATCTCCAGTATTAGATACAAGTGACATCCGCAAAGAGCCAATGAATATCTACAACCTTAATGCCATTATCCGGGACCAGATTAAGCATCTGCAGAAAGCTGTGGACCGGTCCTTGCAGCTGTCTCGTCAGAGAGCGGCTGCACGGGAGCTGGCCCCCATGATCGACAAAGACAAGGAGGCCTTAATGGAAGAGATCCTCAAGCTGAAGTCCCTGCTGAGCACCAAACGCGAGCAGATCGCCACCCTGAGGGCGGTGCTGAAGGCTAACAAACAGGTGAGCACATCCTACTGACGGCACGCGAGCCAGCGCTTTGTCCACTAGTTTGTCCCTTAGTGTTTGTGAGTGTCCACTGCCTTCAGGAGGGGAGTCAGATTCCTGGTCAGCAGAGGTGTGAACACACTGCATCCCGGTCAGACTGTGATAGTTACGTAAGTGAGTGAACAGGTGAACTTGGAGGTAGCTGTGCCCCACTAGGGTGGAGGTAGAGGGGAAAAAGTTAATGCAGCAATAAAGGAGAAGATGGAGCTGCAGAGGTAGAAAGGCCGTTCCGGTGTACTTAGCTGGAGCCCATCAGTCACTGAGTGTGGGGACAGGAGATGGAGGGCAGAACAGGCTGGCGTGGCAGCTTCCACCAGGGAGCTACAGCAAGAAAGACACCCTGGCAGGCAGCTATAGCAAATGAACATGGAGAGAGAGAGAGAGAGAGAGAGAGAGAGAATGTGCACTAGCTCTGCCAGTGACCACATATCCAAGACTGAGGTTCAGTTGGGATGTTAATGCACGTAGGTCAGAGCGTAAGACGTAGAGGCATTTTCCTAACCATAGATCTTGTCTTTTGAAAGTAAATAGGAATCCGCCAACATGACCCCTGTCTAATTCCTAGAGCTCCTTGATAACTGAATTTGTTTTCCACCCTCGAGCCTTACCTGGGTGGGAGTGCTACGAAAGAGAGGCAGAAAAATACTGTCAATCTATTTAGTTCCTCTGGAAAGTAAGCCTTCAAAGTATGCGAATAAAGGATGTTGTTAAAGACAAGTAGTCGGTATCTGCCTGCAGATGGAGGTGGTGCCAGTGCTGGAGAGAGGGAGTCCGTTTCAGATCGAGAGGCCCCCTCCCCACGTGCCCTTGTCTGGGGGAACCGTGCCGTTGTTAAGCCGTCTTCACCGCAGCTTTCCAGCTTCCGTACCTTCTGCTCCCATCAGTCCATTGATACGATCTGGAGGCCTCTGCCACCAGAAGTCATAGTGTTCCCACTATACATGTGTTCTGTATAAATCTAAGGGCAAAACAGGACCTTATTTTGTGCCATTACTTCTGGAAAACAGAAAAGATTAGGGTGAATAAATATTTTGTGAGCGATCTGACTCCAGTTGGAGGTCAAAAATGAAATAATTTGTTACCATAAATTCTGCTTCAATCCAAAGACCCAAGTCATGTAGAGTGGTCCCAAATAACCAGTCCCATATTAGATAAGGCTTAGACAGCCTTTATCGAGGGCATAATATCCTGGGTATTCCTGGTCAAGCCATTCAAATAACTTTTTTGACTTCTTCCTAAAAGTTAAATATTCACAACCCAGAAACCCTTGATCTATAAAAGTGTTCAGATGCCTAATTGACAGAAGTATAGATGAGCATGGCTGACCAGCCAAGCAAGACTAATATGTGAACAGGCTTCGTTGATTACGTATGTCATGGCAGGTAGTAAGTAGGGACGCGAAAATGGGTGACTAGTAATCTAGGAGGAGTTCGGCACATGCCTGTAAGTATTTTTAGGGCAGGATGGATCATGGGGTGCGCTGGAGAGGCGTCAGCAGGCCATCGGATTCAGAGCAGCACAAAGCATTCCTGGCTGGAGTTTCATTTTCACAGTGGTTTGTGGTCCTGTGTGCATTACATTAACATCGTAGCCCTCAGGGTCTCAGTAAATTAAATGAGAACACATTTCTAGCCATGTGTCCACATTTTAGTGATGTTGGTCTATTGCTGTGATCCTCTGTGCCATCTGTGACTTCAGTTATCTGCAGGTGACATCCCTTATATTTAGACCTTGAGAAGTGTTCATTATTAAGGTTAACATAATGATTCTGTCACAGAAGTGGAAAAAGGTAATTTTCCTATTTTAAAATAGGCATTCTGCATTCTCTGTGAATGTTCTGATGTATGTTAGGATTTTTCTATAGGCATAGTGTCTTCTGATAAAACAGCAATTGTTTATGAAATACCATCTTAATTAAATACACCTTTAGTGTGTGTACTAAACTGTGCTAGATGCTAATGATTCAAAGAAGACCTAATGCATAGTCGCTCCCTTGCAAGAGGCTCCACACCCTAGTGGGAATGTTAGAATAGAAACTGACACAGATAATACAGTTTGATATACGCGCTGTAATCCAAGTTATGGGAACATTGCAGAGCAAGTAACTGATGTTTCCTAGAGGAGGTAGAGAAAAACCTCACAGAAGCAACTATACTTGAGTTTGTTTTTAAAGGATAAGGGGTTGTTTTCCAGTAGGTAGACAGACACAGAACAGGATGATATATTCAGGGAATGGTTGTGAAGATCTTCGTGACTGGAAACAAGACTTTTTCTTTAGAAAGTCGACTTCGGGAGTGTGGAGGTGGTGGCACATGCAGACGTCAGCAAATCTAATGGGTTATAGGTACTTAGAACTTCTTAATTCTGAAAAAGCTTTGTACAATCTGTGGACAACAGATCTATACAGCGAAGTACTTTGGGACATTTCTCACAAATAGTAGATGTTTGTCCTTCTTCATCAGATCTTGCTCTTCTGTCATTCCCTCTCTCCTCCCCTTAGAAACTGGCTGTGTGGCTCCACATGCTTACAAATTTGTTACATCTGCTTTTTTATAATTTAAACTTAACTCCCTGTTCTAAATGAATGTGTGTCTATATATTTTTTTTAAATTAAGCAACTGCATTTTTTCCCAGGTAAATTTCTGCATTCTGGATAATTTTCTGAATCTATAATATTTCTGAAGATTCCACTGAGTTCTTAGTACTACAGTACATGCTTAAGTATTTTATGGGGAACTTCTCATTTTAATCTGAATTGAAATTCAGTCAGAACTACTAAGAAACTACTTTGGAATCAAAGCATAACAAACAAACCTATCCCAACATTGTTTTATTTAAAAAAAAATCTTTATCCCTATAGAGGTTGAAGCACAAAAAGAAATGTCAAAACCCAGGGTTATCTTCCTGAGAAGTCCCATTAGCGATGGACTTTTTCATAAGTACTGAATATTTTTACACACTGAAAAGCTGGAGTTAAGTTTGTAAAAAACGGTGTGTTTCCATTTGGCTTCGGTATGTGTGCCGTGTGTGATGTATCATACGGGCAGTCCCTAAATATACATTCATTTCATGTCAAAATTTTTTTTTACGTCCTGTTGTGTGTCAGGCTAGTTCTCAATTTGAAACACTCTTAATTCCAAGCACTTCAGACATGCCCAAATCACAAATTCAAAAAATATTTTAATTCATTCAGCATTTTGGAATCTCTGCTTTTATAGAGACTGTAAGGAATTAAGTGTGACTGTAATTCATTGTTTTGAAGAAGTGTATAAAGACTTAGGGAATAATCGTTTCTTTGTCAGTTCTTTTCCTTAAACATGCAATATGGATTTCTAATTTGTCATTTATTATAAATTGCAGTGGCTCGTGTCTTTTATTCTATACGTTTCAGGCCCACAGAATATAGGTGACAGAAGAAAATTTGAGTTCTGTCGTATTTCAGTTGGAAGCTGTGCTTCTACACTTCGTCTTGATAAAACCCTTCTGGCATAAAGTCTCATTCTGACTCCCTTCGTATCTGAAAATCCCACACTCTGAATAATCTGCATTAAATATTTACTGAACTACTGTCCTTCCCTTGGCTTCTGATACTGACTCTTGTCCACGGCGCATTTCTAGGGCAATTTAACTACATGATGGATTCAAATCATGTTTTGACATAAGAGAGAAACTGCCCTGTGTCCCAAAAGACATATATTTGTTTACGTAAAATGTAACCAAATCAGGTTCACTTTCCACTTACAAAAGAAACTAATAGGCCAGCATGAAGAAATGTGTGATGGGTTTTCCTGATATGAAAATTGTAAGCCCTCTGATTTTTCTGCCTTAGACAGCGGAAGTGGCACTCGCTAATCTCAAGAACAAATATGAAAATGAAAAAGCAATGGTGACTGAAACGATGACAAAACTTAGAAATGAACTGAAGGCTTTGAAAGAAGATGCAGCAACTTTCTCATCCCTGAGAGCGATGTTTGCAACAAGGTAACCGTGTTTTTTTCCTAGATTAGGATTGGTACTTGGGGAAAAGACTTTAAAATTCACATGCACATCTTCGCACATCTTGATTGCTATTTGATGTGATGCCTACAAGGGTGAGATGTGCAAAAAATATAATGATTTCCCTCTGACAAATCTAATATAAAATGTTTTGCGCTGTCTTCCAGACATGCTGCAATTCTTTTACATAGATGTATTTTTAAAATTAATATAATAGATACTTGTTCTAAAGTTTATGCTCCCAAAAGATTTAGACCAAAAAGAAAAAAAGCCTCCAATAAGGGGGAAAAAAAACCCATTCCTAAAATGGTTAAATATTATGTTGTCACCACTGGAATTTATTTCCATGACTAAGGTATGTACAAGTGCTTATTGCTGTTAACTATTGTATGAAAAAGGTACCTTCATAATGAAGGTGAATATTCAGCATACCAGCTAATTACTTAGACTTTAAGACACTGTGAATTAAATTGTAATTCCTAAAATGTAATTATATATATATAATATATGTGTATATATTATATATATATATCACTAACTTTTTCACATTGCCCAGTTAATTAATTGGACAAATATTAGTTACTACTTCCCCCACCAGTTTCATTATGAAGAACCTCTGCATTTTGTTTTTAAACTTGAAGTGATTGTTAAGAATGTATTGATTCAAGGGTTTCAAAATACTGAGATTTCAATATAGTCTTGCTATCCCCTTTTGCTGTCATAATTCTTGTGCCAAACAAAAACAGTTGTATATCTAATGTGATGCAAACATGGTACCAAATTCACAAAGTGTAACTACGGCTTTATTTGCAGATTCAGTATATCGTGTACATGTAGTTAATACAGTGTAAGAAAAATTTGCGGTTAAATAGGAGCCCCGGAATCTGTCCAGCTTCCTTTATGGGTAACGAGAGAAGAGGCTCAAGCTCATTCTCTGGGACTCATTTTCGGAGCTGGCAGTGAGGAGGCTGAGTGCCCAAAGGCCCCCCGGGTGGGGGAGAACGGAGGGGAACTGATCTCCGGGTCTGAGTGGGGGTGGCCTTCAGGGGGTGGAATGCGCACTCCTCTGGCCCCTGCAGGGAGCAACGAGAGACTGGGATGGTGCTCATTGCCCCCTTCTTGGATAAAAGCAATTAGCCATTGTTACATGTAGAATCATATTTTCTCTCTAAAAAAGAGATCAAAACGTCTTTAAAGGGACATTTAAAGTCTGAATCTTATTATAAAAGAATTATTTACCCGGCCCCCCTCCCCAATGGTGCATTTTCACAGAAACTTGTTTTTTCAGGTAAAACAGTCTTACTCCATAGTATTTTTTAAAATATTGTTATCTGCCCAATTAAAATAAATCCAGGGTCCTGAAACCCACACTGTATTTTGCTAAGCCCTTCTTTTTCTTACGGTGTCCCTATGAGGATTCTTGACATTCACAGTTAAAGAAAATGGAACCCACTTGGATGTCAAGTACTTTTCACTACTGTCTATTTTTTTTCTTTAAATGCCGCAGACTTCTTAATTTCAAAGTTTGTTTGATATATTTTGGGTAATAACTCCAAAAAACCTTTAACTGTTTGCTGGGGCATAAAAACTATTTGTTATTATCATCTTAGTGGGTAAAGATGATTTGTTATTATCATCTTAGTGGGTAAAGAATAATTGGGTGAATAATTCTTCCTTCCAAATGAATAAAAACAGGTTTTACTTCTGATGGGGAGAAAAGATCACCGAGCTTATCTTCTCACTGTAGATAACCGGATAAAGATGTTCCTGAGAGCCTGCTGTATCTGAAAAATATGTATGCAAAATTGGTTTTCTTTGAAACCTATTGCTTTATCATCTGAGTGAGAAACCATTGAAAATATTCTGGTGTCTAATCCAGGCTTATCTGCCATATTGAAAGCAGGGGCAGCTGCAATCCATACTCAGTTGAAACCTATAAGTATAAATAAAGAAGGAAATGTTTTCTTTATACACATTATTATTCCTTTGCATGCTACAGGCATAGCTCATAGCAAACTTACCACATTCCTCCAAACGCAATGTTACATGGTAGCAAAAGCTACTGTAATATATGTAAGATGCTGGGAACATTACCCGAGACTTGCTGTCCATTCTTCTACCCCCATGGGTAAATAAGCCTCACAACCACCCTTTCCCTGGGGCTTAAGATGTCACCTATTAAGAATGTCTCCACACGTGCTCCACTGTGGACATGAACCATCCACTACTGAACTTACTGTGTCCAACTTTCTACCAAAGTAGGTTACCTCCATTTGGCTCTGGGAAGACCAGTGTTCTAAGTCTCAAACTTCCAGAAACACTCGTCACTTCTCAACTCAAGTCCCAAATTCAGTGTCACCAAGATTTTCCCCTGACCACATCACTGTTTTGGTTCCAGATGTGACGAATACGTCACACAGTTGGATGAGATGCAGAGACAGTTAGCGGCCGCAGAGGACGAGAAGAAGACTCTCAACACTTTGTTGCGAATGGCTATCCAGCAAAAACTCGCCCTGACTCAGCGGCTGGAGGACTTAGAGTTTGACCATGAGCAGTCGCGGCGCACCAAAGGCAAACTTGGGAAGAGCAAGATCGGCAGCCCTAAAGTAAGTGGGGAGGCATCAGCCATCGTGCCCACCATAGACACTTCCCTCCTGCGTAGTCAGGGCCCACAGACACCCAACATTCGGGTCAGCAGTGGCACTCAGAGGAAAAGGTATGCATGCAGCGATCTTCATAGTTTGGTGCAGTGGCCAGATTTTTAGTTAATTGCAAAAATGAATGTGGTCTTATTGTGGAGGGTGGAGGAAGGGAAGGAAGAGAAAAAACTGGGAGTGGAGGAATAAATGGGCCTTGTTTTGTTTTTTCCAATTCATAACTGTTTGGTAATGGTGTTGATTTACTCTTTTCTGCCCCTGCACTCCAGCTCTTGATTAACCATAATATAATATTCAAGTGTTGTCAACACTTTTGCTGTTCTTGTATGCATAAATATGCCTCTCCCTTACCTCCAACCTAAAAATCGGTAGATAAAAAGTGGATATTAAGAATGAAGCTATGTTTTACATTGGTGATGATTTTAAAAGTCATTGTACCTCTGGTAATGGTGCTATTTACCAGTGTCTCGTTAATGGGGCAGTATGTTCTCTTAGGGGAATTTTTTGTCCCTATGACCAAAACTGATGACTGACAGAAAGGAGATGTCTTTATTTAGCTGGAATGGAATGGAATATGTATCACCTTTTTCTTAAATGCAGGTTTTTGTGCTTTTTAATTTGGTATGGGACTATTGCTCAAAGACATCATTTATAAGAATTTGAGTGCCTTGATTTTGTGACTTTTTCCCAGAGTCCTGGATGTTGAATTACTTACCCTGTTTTTTCAGTTAATGGTAACATTTTCATTTTAAGAGCTTTCAGTAAAGAATCGGATAATATAAATAGTTTCTATTTGCGGTTCAAACTAACTATACAATAAATCTCTTTTCCAGTATCCAATATGGTTTCCAAGTAGGATTGTATCCTGCTGTTCGCAAAAATTCTTACCATTAGCAAAAAATCTTGATTTACATGTTTAAAAATTAAATGCCAATATAAATAATGTTGTCACTGGTGAGGCTTTGAAAGGTAATTAAAGTAAAACTTTTTTGTTTCCTATATGTATTTTCTTGGATCTCCTGCAAGGCAATTTTCACCTTCCCTTTGTGATCAGAGCCGTCCCAGGACTCCAGGGGCACCCTGCCTACAGAATTTATTAAGAGTTCCCCCTGATCCCACCTCCACAGAATCATTTCTTCTGAAGGGCCCCCCTTCCATGAGTGAATTCATCCAAGAGCACCGGCTCAGCAAGGAAAAAAGGTTAACCGTGGCCCCACCAGGTAAACATTTTTTCCTTGGGTGCATGTGATGCAGGTAATGAGTTGCACAGACCCCGCTCCCGTTCCTTCCAGCCACTCGTGCCCGCCCATGCGCGCACTCTGGCTCTGATGACGGGTAAATTCCTGCAGGTACAGTGACAACGCGCCTTACGCTTGACCTCCTGTGTCCCGCCTTACCATTCCTTAGGCGTCTCCGGGGACCTCTTTCAACAGCCGAGGATGGAAAATGAGGATTGGAAGGAACGGGATAGGGTCAGGGAACCGAGCAACAGGTGCGAGGCAGGACACACCCTGGCTCCTGTTTGTGGTTTGGTAGCTCCTAGCCATTCCATCTCGGTCACATTTTGCCTTTATGTTCTGATGCTTTTTCATGTGATTTTGGTAAAGGGAGCCATCTCTATAAAAAGCCTTTGGGCCAGTCTCCTTTTGTGGTGACTCAGACTGCCTCCTCCATCACTATAGAGAAAATAATAGTGAAATCCTCTGCGGTTTTGCCCACTGAGATTACTCAGGCCCTCGTGTGATGTTCTTGTAGTCGGTGAGCACTTAACGGTTTCACGCTTACCAACATGCACACAGTGTGTTTTAGCTTCACTGGTTTTTGCATTTTTCTTTTTTAAAAAAATTTTCCTATGGAAGGCCTCCATTGAAAGAGTGAGTTCTGGCAAAATAAACCTCATCCTTTGGAGAAATCCCTGCGCACTAACTCTAGCTCAGAGGTGTCACACAGGGAGTCCACGGAACAAAATAAGCCCAAAGGCGGCTCTCAGGAGGCCATCCCAGGGGAATGAAACCCCAAAACGAACTCAGGTTAGTTGTCAACAGTTAGAAACTCAGATGTCACATGAACATCTATATTTCTGGCCTCCCTTGAATGATTCCAAGTATCTGGCAGCCCTACGTGTGCATCCCTGCACGTCAGCAACCTGTGGGGGCGTCTAACCGGGCAAGCTTTCCAGCGCGCCGCAGGCCCCCTCACTCCCTTCCTTCTCCCCAGCCTGCCGCACACCACGCGTTGGTTGTCTTCCCGCCCCCACCACAGCCTTTTAGTTTGCTGCCTTTGCTACGGAATTCTTTTATTTTAATTTCCTTTGATCTTAGCTAATTTACTCCAATTTTTACCTTAATTCCTTTTTGGAAACCTCAGCCTTTGGATTTTTAATACTTTCCTTCTGTGATTCATCAGTCAGCCTGCTGATTGGGATTAAAAGATGCAGTGTGGAAATGTATAGCACATGGGCAACATTCTAAGAATGTCTGAGAAAATAGGTAGGGATAAGGGATAGGAAGAGCATTAATAGCCAAAATGTGCCGCTAAAAAAAAAAAAAAGCAACAGCTTTGCTCCTGAACCCGCTTCCTTAACTCATTTCCTCTGTTTGACACCTTTTGGAAGGTACCTTGAAGTATCTGTCAAAGTGGTGATGACTCTCCTCGGAACGCCTAAAACTCACAAGTCCTTTGAGAGTATCTAGTAGCACTGTCTACTAGAATTTAGCGGGGAAAAATCTGTGATTAATAAGCAACCCTACTGTATTTTTTTAAATCTCAATTTTAAAAAGTATTTAATTTAAAAAGTAACATATCCATATTAGTACAAAGTAACATATCAATATTTTTGTTTGACTGAAAACTAATAAAAAATATTAACAATAAGTATTTTCATTTTGTATATGACTATTTGATCATTATTATATCAAAGTCTATTTTAAATGATCATTGCATTATGGCAACCGTGAACATTATATCGTAAGTTTTCTCTACTACCTAGTCCTACTTTTTTAAAGGAGGTTGTATCATAAATTTTTTTTCAGATGTTGTTACCACATTTAATAATACCACTTCCTCCCATGTTAACCACTGAGATAGTTTTCCATTATTTGTTATTTTATAGAATGCTGGTAGGAAAATCCTCCTGCATTCAAATTCTCATCTATTCAATTTTTTCTCAAGAGTGAATCACTGATGAAAAGTATGGACATCTTTATGCTTTTGTTCCACTTTGCTGCTGACAAAAAGGGTGTAATTAAGGTACTAAAAACCCCACAAAACGTTTTCCCCATATTCACACATTCTGAGTCTCTCTACCACTTTGTGCACGCTGTACACATCTTGCAACTATAAGGCTAGTTAGCACATAAATGAGTGAGAGAACCATCATGTTGCTTAAATTCTTTAGTTTTGAATAACCAGAAAATGGCAGTGGACTTAGAAGTGATTACTATATATAAGGTGAGAGATTTAAATAACTTGGAATTCAGAATCATCATTAGGCCAGAAAATCACTTTCATGACAACTTAGCATCTTGATAAATCTTATATTTTTCACCAATGGTCTACAGTTAAAATAACAAAAGAGGAGAGAAAGTAAAGCTGTTGTTATAACCTGAGGAATCTTTAGTTGTATATCAGGGAACCAACCAGGTTAGTCCTTAATAAATTCTTAGATCAACCCAGCAATATTTTCTAAAAGGTTCTGTTAAATGAATTACCATAGAAACTGACTAACTAACCATCTATATGCCAAACGAATTGTAGCTTCTAAAAATATTTGCATTATTGACTATTGATTATTACAAATATGTGTGGTTTTCCTAGGCTGAACTGTGTTGGGTAAGACTTATTAAACAATTGTTTGTGATACTTTTACTATATAAATGTTTTCATTAAACTGATAAAGGGAAAATACCCAATGGGAAATTATAGATTGTATGAGTTTTTTTATTCATGAGTTTAATATGTTTTTGATTATAAAATTTCCTGGCTGGTAATTATATGTTCATTGTTTTTAAAAGACAATTCCTTCTTAATTTATCAGAATGTGTTTTGGTAAGCCTGTCTTAAAAAATATTTTTTAATACATATATTATATGCGATTTTAATTATCCTAGTAAGTAGACGTATGGATTGTTTTCTACTGAGGATCATTGAAGTAATTAGATCAATAGAAATGAAATTAGTTTACTTTGTTTTGGTTCCTGTGAGGAATTATGAAAGATGTAAATCTCATTTAAAAATTTAAAACATAGAACATGAAATATCACTTACCATATACAAGGGATATTTTCAAATAGATTTCATTTCTTTGAGGTGGTCAGCAGAAAAGCCCCTCTTCAAGGCACAATTTCTCAATTTCTGGAGAATCACCTCTAGGATGGGGCAGTGGTTCTCAGAGTTAGGAGAATGTTTCATAGTAATTGATCAGCAACATTCATACAACCTTTTGAAGGAAAATTCCGGCCCCTGCCTCCGACTTTGGCTTTGTCTCTGCTACCTTAGCCCCTGAAATTTGAGTTTCCGTCCATGGCTTATTGACTGTCTTGTTGCTGACTTCACCCTTATTCTGGTGCACAAACTCCAGTGTCTTGGCACATACCTGCTCTGATGAACTGGAATCAGAAGGGACCCTGTCATCACCAGCGGGTTTGCAGTCAGGCAGCAGATAATGTGTCTTCATAAAATCATTGGCTATTTTCCAGCCAACATTTTATCTTGATGCCTTAATTTACCTAGGCCTATATGATAAAGTCTTACCACTTAGTCAGTAATTAAAATCAGTCAACTAGAATAAAGGAATCTATGTAATTCATAAGTACGAGATGTAATTTCTGTAGTAAAGGACTGACCGCATCATCTGGAGAGGTGATTTAGGGTCATGGACCCAGTTGCAAAGCATGTGAAGGCTTTGCCACACCCAACAAGCTGGGTGTCCTAGAGTTCAACTCGGTTCTGACACTGTCTACCCAAAGACAGCTGGAGATCCCAAGGTTGAGGGCTCAGTCCTACACAACTCCTACACAACTGCCACCCCCACCTTGTCCCCACCCCACCACACACACACACACACACACACACACACACACACACACACACACACACACACACTTCAGATGCCAGTGTAAAGCCAGTGTAAACCTGTGCTTTTGATCAACTGGCTGAAAATCAGAAGTTCCCATAAACCCCCACCTCAGGTTCAATTAATCTGCTAGAGCAGCTCACAGAACTCAGAGAAACATTTTACTTATTAGATGCCTGGTTCATCATAAAAGGATGTAACTCAGGACCAGTCAGATGAAAGAGATGCACAGGACAGCATGCGTCTCTGTGCACCCTCCAGAAACACCCCTCTCCCAGAATCTTTATGACTCTCTACATGTTCATCAACCCGGAAGCTGTCCAAGCCCCATCCTTTTGTTTTTCACGGAGGCTTCATGACATGGGCATCATTGGCTAAATCATTGACAGTTGGTGATTGGTTCAGCTGCTAGCCCCTCCCTCCTCAGAGGTCAGGTGGTGGGACCAAAAGGGCCAGAGCTCTAATCACGTGACTGACTCTCCTGGCACCCAGGCCCCACCCTAGGTGGGTTCAAAGTCACTTTATTAACATGAGAAGACACACCTTTGTCACTCGGAACACTTAGGAAATTCCAAGGATTTTGGGAGCTGTGAGCCAGGAATTGTGGAAGAAGGCCAAATATGTATTTCTTACTAGTCACAATATTGCAAAAGGATAAACAAGAAATCTCAAACTTCAAAAAGCAGATGTGAACCCTGTTCTTTGAGTAGTAGCCTCAGCAATTCGCTCTTCACACTGTTTTCTCTGCGGGAGCTTTTCCTCCTTGATGCTTAGCTTCCCCGTATGATTTCAGGTGCCTCTGTCCCTCCCTAACCTCCCCGCTTCCCTTCCTTGTGCACGTTCTCTCTCTCTGATACCACTACCGGGTCAGTGTGAGTGAATGGTACGATTTTCAAATCTGAAAATTGTCTGGTATTTTAGGTTTTACTGGTTTTTAAAGCAGGTCACAGAAATGTCTTAACTTTAGGTACATAATCACCCCTTCAGATGTATAATCAACAATAGACACAAACATGTCCATTAGTGAAAATTGCCTTCACATTATACCATAGTCAATAAAGTAGACATCTATCTGTTATATTGCAAAGCCTATGTTTTTAAACATGGACCTAAACCACGTTTCTTTCATTAATTCATTTGATCATT